ACTCAACAGTTACAACCACCATTTTGGGCCAAGTCACAGCCCCCTGTCATCTTGGTGCTGGGATTTAATGCTTTTTTTCCCTTTCATTCAATTTGAGATCTTCCTAGTTCTTCATATGATAAATGATTTTCGGCAGAAATTGGGGCATTTTGCATACAATTGTATGAGACGCTGTGATAGTTTGACCTTCCTGTTTCAGGTGGCTTTTTCTGCCCTTACTCCAACAGGGAAAAGTGGGTGCTGCCTCACTATCGCCAGGAGGGGGTGGAGCTCCAGGCTCCTCGATGCCTCTTCACTGGGCAGGGATGGGAGTTTCATCTTCCTGCTAGGCTTCCACCCACACCTCCCTGGCTGGAATGGATAGCAGTGAGTGACTGGTTACCATGGCATCCACTGACACCACATGGGACCGGGTGGCCTCATTACTCATGGGTGGTACTGAAAAGTCCTGACTTTCCACTTGGTCTCCCCGGCAAGGAGGGTGAAAGATTCCTCTTTATTGCTGGTTGGAGGTCAAGGTCCAGGCTCCCCATGTGGTCTCCACCGACTCTGAGTGGAGTAGGGCAAGGTCTCCATACTATAGCAAGGAGGAAAGTCCCAGCTCCCTCCTCAGCCTTCCGGTGACACCATCCCCAGCAGTGGGGAGCCGAGTGGGGGTGGCAGTCTAGCCTGCCCATTCAGCCTCTGCTGGTGTGGGTGGTGGTTGGGTAAAGGAGAGTGCTCATTTTCTAGAAGTTTCTGTGTTCCTGGACGCCCTCCTTCCTGATCCTTTGGCTAGAGAGACTGGGCTTCTGTTGTTTGCGTCCACCAGCATTTCTGAGTTACCAGCTTCGTCAGTTTTAAGTCTGAGGTACACGAGGCAAAAAGAGAATGCAGGGAAGACCCCAGCTGTTGTTGCTGGGGTCCTAAGGTCCCTAAGCCAGTCTGCCTTCTCTCAACCTTTCAGGATCTTCGAAAGTTTCTTTCACATATGATGCTCAGGGTTTTTAGCTGTACTTAGTGAACTTTGGGCCACACAGACCAAGAGTCTACGACCAGAGCATTCCGCCTATGGCTGGGTCAGGGTGACCAGAGCCTGTCGGGGCCGCACTGACAGTAACTTGTCTGGAGCATGTGGTGGGACTCCGCATAGTGGCAGTCCCTGAGAACACAAGCAGGGGGACGCGATAAATGGTGAGGCTACACAAGTGTCTCCTTTGGTTACTCACTCTGTCAGAGCATAGGTTCTGAACCAGCACTGTGGCCCTGCCTCCTTCCAGTCCCTGAAGATGCTGGAAGGACTCCCCACGCTGAATGGGCACCACCTTCTCTAGGTCCTGCACACCTCTGTGCCTAGGGGACACCCCTTCCTCCTCTCTGGAGGTTTCCCACCTACCCCCGCCCCTGGCTTCTCCACTGATCTGCATTGGCCCTATTCTGGGCCAACCACCTCTCTTCCCACGGCCAGAGCCCTGTCATGCGCTGCTGCAGCCTCCGTACCGCCCACCCCCGAGCTTCTCTAATGGCCACCTGGTTTCTGCTTGGATGTCCCTGGAGCATCCACACTGATCACTTCCTACACAGACTCCTTCCTTTCCACTCCCAGATCGGCTTGGCCTTTGCCCGAATCTGAGGTGACCCCCTCCAAAATAATCTGCACCCACTCCTTTGCCTCCACCTCCAGAGCCCAGCAGCCACCACCACACCACCTGCAGCCCTCACCCAGCGCCCCACTGTTGTCCTTGCTCCTGGCCAGCAAGGCCCTCCCTTCTTCTCCACATAGCTGCCCATCTTCCACAGTAGGCCTCGTTTCAAGTGACATCTCTGACACTCCCTCAGCTGGATCTCCCCTCAACTCACCCACTAGATAAGTCCTGAGCCCCTCCTGGGAATTCTTCAGTTTAGTCCCTCTTTATTTCATCATATTTGCCACTATCGGTAATCACAGTTTTGTTTCCTGGTTTACAGTGGTCTATCTTGCTAGGCTGTAAACATCATAGGGCATGGGGGACTTTTGCCAGTCCCTGTCACCATTACACCCCACTCCCATTACCAAGCACAGGGTAGTTGCTTAATAAGGAGCTCTAGTGGCATAGCTCTAGTGGGAGCTTTGGTAGCATAGTGTCTAAGGCAGTTGACTGCTCACCAGAAGGCTGGCGGTTCAAACCCACCAGCCACTCCTCAGCAGGAAGGTTGGGCAATCCTATTTCCGTAATGATACTGCCTCGGAAACCCAAGGAGGAGTCGCTACGAGTCGGGGCCGACTCGACGGCAAACAACAACAACAACAACAATGGCATAGTGGATAAGACACTTGGCTGCTAACCAGAAGGTTAGCGGTTCAAACCCACCAACCGCTCTGAGGAAGGAAGATGGGACAATCTACTTCTGTAAAGATTTATAGCCTCGGAAACCCAACGGAGGTTGCTATGAGTTGGGTCCAACTCAAGGGCATATAACAACAACAACAACAACAACAACAACGAGTCGGAATCAACTTGATGGCAGTGAGGTTTCAGCTTGAGTTGCCCAATGGAGCCCAACGGTGGTGCAGTGGTTAAAGCATTCAACTGCTAACCAAAAGGTCAAGGTTCAAACCTACCAGGTGCTCTGTAGAAGAAAGATGAGGCAGTCTGCTGCTGTAATTTGACAGCCTTGAAGTCCCTCTGGGACAGTTCCACTCTGTCCTCTAGGGGCACTATGATTCAGAATCCACTCCCGGGCAGTGGGTTTGTTTGTTTTAGTTTAGTTGCTTAATATGAATGCCAATGAAAGCTTGAAGGAAGGGAAGCGGACTGCCAGGGTGTAGCTGGCTGAAGAACAAGGCTGCCTCTCTGTGGCTAAGCCAGAGAACTGCAGCTTCCCCAGACAACACGTGACAAAGAACCACTCAAAGACACGCTGCTCCTTCTCCCTAGAAGGACGCCCTCTCTCATACCCTTTCCAACACCTGGAACGGAATTGGGGAGTCCACCTCGTCCACCATGTCTCAAGGACCCCCTGATCTTTCCAATGCAAAATCTCCTGTATCTCTGGGATGGGGGGAGGGAGTGTCCAACCTCCAGAGAGGCTTCCTTCCCTAGAAGAAGCTGAGGTGCGAGGAGCAAGGCCAGTCCTTCCTGCCATGGGGCAATGACAGGAATACCTGCCTTGGAGGCTGTGGTAGCAGAGGTTATGGCTGTGTGGGTATCTGTGTGAGTGAGGCCACACTCAGGTGGAGAGAAGCCAGGCCCATCAGGGAGCACCCCCAGCCCCAAGGTCTAAATCTAAGCCCCCAGTGGGGGGTCATGGAAGGTGAGAAATAAAGAGATGAGACCATGGAAAGATTCAGAAAGGTCACAAATCTTGCCAAGTTTCCAGAGCTAATGCAGAGACAGCCTGGGCAGAGCCTGCACACACGTTTGGAACCCTCTGCTTCTGAGGCGTTAACAGACTCCCAAAGAAGCTATCTGGCCTGTACCAGGTGCCCTTAAAACAGCAGTGCTGGCACCAGCAGGCACAGACCCTGTCCCTAGAGGCTGGAGCCAGGGACATGGGAGGCCACAAAGCCCCTTCCTGCCCTTAGAATCTGTTTCTTTCTTTCTTTTTTAAATTTTATTGTGATTTGGGTGAAAGCTTACAGAGCAAATTCATTTTCCATACAGCAGTTCATACTATTTTATCTCATGACGTTGACTGCCGTTCCCCAGAGTGTAACAGCTCTCTTCCCACTTCCTCCCTGTAGTTACCTCTTCTGTGTCCTTCCCTCCCATGCACTGGCCGCCCCCTTCCCCGAGCTGTCTCCCTGTGCAAACACTGCCCTTCTCTTCTCCATGACTGATCATTCTAAGCAGTGAATCTACCTGGTGTAAATGTCCACCCCTATGCCTAAGGAGCACTGGTAGCTTAGTGGGTAAGGCATTTGGTGGCTGCTAACCAGGTGACTGGATCAAACCCACCAG